AAAAAAAAAAAAAAATTACAGCCTTGGAAACCCTATGAGGCAGTTCTACTCTGTCCTCTAGAGTTGCTATCAGTAGGAATCAACTTGATAACAGTGTGTAGGTGAATTACAAATAAAGAATTGTGAAAGAGGGGGATCAACTGTATTCCCCTCCAGCCAGGATACTCCAGGGCCTGTTTTGTCCTCCTGATATTATAAGACATAAGTAGGAACAACTTTTTATTATCCCAAAAATAAAATACTCTTTCCCTCAAATCCTCAGGCTGTAATATCGTCATGCATTCCTATAGCAGAAATAAAGCTGCTAGGTTGTGTTCAAGGCAGAGCACACACCACAGGGTAGTTTCTAAATAAAGGTCCATGTTACGGATTAATTTGTGCCCCAACCAAAATATGTGTTGGAATACTAACCCAAATACCTGTGTCATCCCTATACTTAACCTCTATGCCAGTATAAAGGAGCTCTGGTGGTACAATGGTTAGCTTGGCTTCTAACTGAAAGATTGGCAGTTCAAACCCCCAGCATTTCCATTAGAGAAAAGACCTAACAATCTACTCCCATAAAGATTACAGCCTAGGAAACCCTATGAGGCAGTTCTACTCTGTCCTATTGGGTCACTATGAGTCAGAATTAACTCAAAGGCACACAACATACTTGTGCAATCTCAGTTGGGAATAGGATTTTCTTTGTTATATTAATAAGGCCCTGTTGGTATAGGATGTCTTCCTAAATGTAACCACTGCTGAGTTGTATGGGGTAGCATGGACACAGAGCTAAAAAGTACAAATGGGGACAGAGGCCATGGGAAGACTGCTGAAAAAGCAAGGAACGTCAGCAATACAGAAGCTGAGACAAGGATCTTCCCCAGGGAGAACAGAAAGAGAGCCTTCTCCTAGAGCCAGTGCTCTGAATTCCGATTTCTAGACTACTGAATGGTAAGAGAATTAACTTCTGTTCTTTCAAGTCACTCACTCATGGTATTTCTGATATAACAGCACTACAAAACCAAGAGAGTGCATTAGCAATGTATTAAAACTACCAGAGGGATTGGCTTTAAATACAACTACTGATTCCATAGATCTAGTGGAAGGAGAGGGGAAGGATGTCTAAGGATCTGCACTTTGAAAACACTCTGGAAGGAGTCTGGGTGGTAAAGCTGTAGAAATAATCACACTGGCTGCCCCAGGGTGGGCCTGGAAGCCAAGAGCCACCAACTCCATCCTTGTTCCAGTCCCCTCTGAAGCCCATCTCTAACATTAATGCCAGGCAAATTCACTAAACCAAATCTACCCTTCCATGCCAGGGCAGCCCAGCAGGTTCCCTGCTCATCCCACCTAGAAATGGTCCCCTTGTCACATGGTACACCACTACTTCCTCCGTCTTAGGGTGAACAAGCCCACTGCCATCTCCTGCTATAGATCCCCTGGAATGCTGGCAAATGGGTTCTTTGGGCCCATCAATCATCTGCATCAGGACCTCACCCAGCCCAGCCAGTACTCACATTCAGTGTGCCAGGGCCACCCTCCAGCACCACACAGACGATGGGGATCTTGATGGCCACCCCTAGGACAAAGCATGGCACCCAAAATTAGGGGTATATGGCTCAGGCCCTCCACAGTAGGGGTACATTTCCCCAATCCCCTGTCTGCTCCAGCTCATGGTACTGGAACTGCCTTCCTAATCCAAGGTAGAAGATGTGTTGCAGAAAATAAGTAGTTTTCAAAGCTTTGAACTGGCTCTTCCCAGTTCACTCATAGCTGATGAAGTGAAACCGGAACAGCTCCCAAGCTGTAAAATGTGAATGTACCAGAATGATAACCCAAATGGGAACAAATTACATGTCAACACCTTGCTAGAAACTTAATCTCCCTCCTAGAAAACAAGAGTAGCATGCACATTGTATAGCAACCAACTCTCTTGATTGGCAGAGTTGGAAACAAGGGTACCTGGCTCAAAGATGAAGCCAACTGCTTCACTTTGAATGTGTGTCACTCTCCACAGTCCTGACAATAACACAATCACCTGCATCAGACGCTTGAAAAGGTTCATTACACCTCTTCTGAATCTCCCATTCCAGGGCTACAAACTGTAATTTCCCCCCTTTCAGTTATTATTTCAATACACACATTTTACAAATTCGAGTCTGTTCCAGTTTCACTGTGCTGGTTATGACTGAACTGAACTGAACAAGTTCATAGCTCTGGTAGCTTTAAAGACTGACACTCCAGCATTTGCAGTGGTTGACTTACTCTATATAAACCAAAACCCATTTCCATCAAGTCAGTTCTGATTCATGGTGACTCCTTGTGTGCAGAGTACTCCACAGAGTTTTTAATACTGTGAACTCTTGGAAGTAGATTGCCAGACCTTTCTTCTGCATTACTCTATAAATCACAGCAAATTCAAGAATACCTGATTGTCACACTTCTCCTGTCCACTTGGTTTCCACTTCCTTTCGCTTTCTTGACTGGTTGTTGTTGTTATGTGCCGTCTAGTTGGAACCGACTCATAGCAACCCCTCCTTGGGTTTCCGAGGCAGTATCACTACAGAAATAGATTGCCCCATCTTCCTTCCGAGGAGTGGTTGATGGGTTTGAACCACCAGCCTTCTGGTTAGCAGTCAAATGCCTTAGGCACTACGCTACCAGAGCTCCCTTCTTGATAAGTGCCATTGTTGGTTAGAGCTGACACCACAAACCCCTGCCATGCCTATCTTCTCTAAAAGGCAGGGGACTCAACTTGCTGTGGTGACTATAAACCATTAGGTTGCTCTTCTCTGCAACCTTTTTGTGGATCCTCAAACTTTGGCTACACCTATGGGGATACAGCAAGCAAAGTAGTATCTTGCATGGGACAGAAGCAAGGCCACAGAAGCCTGTCCTCTTTCTGACCAGCCAGTGCCACCTGGCACAGCAGAAAAGGGGTCTTGTTAAGACTTTGGAAATCTCTTTCACTGGGCAATTTTCTATCCAGATGCCAGCAGTGGCCTCACTGTTTATAAACACTCACACCAGGGTTTCTTCAGTCAAAGCTTAGATTTTCCAAATGGGGTCCTTGGACCAACAGCAACAGCATCACCTGGGAATTGTTATGAAAGCAGATTCTCAACCCCACCCAGAACTGCTGACCAGAGACTCTGGGAAGGGCTCAGTACACTGTTCTGACAAGCCCTGCAGAAGACTTGAGACCCAAGGCTCTACAGGTTTCCCAACCAATCTGGTACAGATCTAGATATCTCCCTGCTCTCTCGAATCCTTTCTTCATTTGTTCCTCAAATCACATGAAACATCCTGTGAATTTGACCCTCAAATGCCCTTGAATCCATCCCATTCTATCTACAAGGAAAAAACATCTGTGGTAGTTAAGGTTGTTGTCAGTTTGGTTGGGCCTGGTTGAGTGGCTAGGCAGCTGAATATGGTTATTCCTCGTGGTGTGATTGGCAATCAATTCCATGGTGTAATCTATTGGAGCAGCTGACTAGCTACTTTAGGGATGTGGTCTGTTTCCAGTATATAAGAAGCAGCTTTGAGGAAGGTCTCCAGCTTTTTATCAGCAACCCGCCATGCGCTTCTGATCTTGGGACTTCTCCTGGACTTGAATTAGTGGCCTGCCATGTTGTTTGATCACATTGGGAATGTGCCTTTTTACTTGTTGACATTGGGTTTGTCAGCCTCAGCAGCCTGCAGCTGTCTGAGTGAAGAAAAGCCTCTAGCTTCAGCAGGCCAGAAGCAGAAGGCAGAGCTGAAGCCCAAGGTTGAAGGGCTTTCACCCAGCCCCTAGAGCCTGGCACTTTGAACTCAGATTTAAAGCCTCCAAACTGAAAGAGAATAAATTCCTGTTTGTTCAAGCCCTCCCATTTGTGGTATATTTCTGTTAGAGCACCACTAGGTAACTAAAAGAACATTCAATTCCAAGTTTTGACTCTTCCATGTCCTGACTTCTGACCCAGAGACTGCTGTGGTCTCAAGCAACTGTAGATGGTCTGTTACCTGAGCATGGGGAGAGTAGCCAGGCCTTCCCTGACTTTGCCCCCACTGGTCAAAGAAATTTCAGTACAGGGGCAGAAAGTTATCCCCACTGAACTGAATTTCACTGGAGCCCTTTGTTCAAGAACATCCCTCATTCGTGGATGTTCAGGAGAAAGCTTACTATAAACAACTGACCAAGAAGGGCTTACTGGTCTACTCTGTCTAAATAACTTTAGAACGTCTCCCAAATGTTCCTTTCTCTGAGCTCCCAACTCTCTCCTCCCTCTCCCTCCTGGATCTCCCAGGACCCAGGTGACCTTATCATAAGAAAAGAAAACATTTCCTAAAGACTGACCCTAATTGCAACCTCAGTAAATTACTTGCCCAGGCCAACAATCAACCCCTCTTAAGTGAGTAGGAGACTCAGAGACTCCTCTTGGGTCTCACCCAATTGCCCCTGTTGTTCCCTCTTGCCCTTCCTTTAGCCCTCTCTCTCCCCTTACAGAAATTATTTCATAATAAAGTTGTCCTTGCCTGCCTTAACATCACCCAGTGCAATTTTTTCTTTGACAAAGTGTAAAGAAATGATGGGAGAAGAGATACAGGTGCATATGACACATCTCTGTGTGCCACCTCAATGAACACCTGCCACTATTGCTCCCTGCCGAGTGCCTCAACAGCCCACTCCACTCACCTCCCCTTTCCTTTGTCTGCTCCGATATGAATTTCTCCAGCTTGGTCCTCAGGGAAATCTCCACCCCATACCGGCCATGGGTCCCATCGTCCACCAGAATGAAGTGGGAATGGTTGCTATCCAGACAGGTGAGGTTCCCCTGGCCTTCCTCATCTAGGACATACTCAGCAGGAAAGCCACCCTGGGATAGTCAGATAAGAGTCAGATGATCATATGGAAAGTGCCATGACTTTAACACAGGGAATGGAGGGGTCTAAACCAAAAATAAATAAAAAACTAGTTCCCTCGAGTAGGGCCAAAACTCATGGTGACCTCATGTGTATCATGGTAGAACTGTGCTCCATAAGGTCGTTAAGGGCCAAGTTTTTAGAAGCAGTTCACCAGGACTTTTTTTCTGAGGTGCTTCTGTATGGGTGGACTTGAACCTCTAACCTTTCAGTTAGCAGTTCAGCATGTTAACCATTTGTGACACCCAGGGACTCCTACGGGGGGGTATGGCCTCTCATTATTTATGCCCATGTCCTGGTCCCTGGATATCCATGTCCTACTCCCTAGAACTTGTAACTGTCACCTTATTTGGAAATAAAACTTTGTAGATGTGGTTAAAGATCCTGAGATGGGGAGATTATCAACTACTCATCTGGACAAATATCCTTATTAGAAGGAGGCAAAGGGAGATTAGATACACACAGATGTGAAGATGGTTGCAAAGATTGGAATGATGTGGACTCAAGTCACCAGGAGCTGAAAAAGACAAGGAAGAATCCGCTAGAGCCTCCAGAGGGAGCATACCTGCTGACACCTTGATTTTGGCTGAGTGATATTGATTTCACACTACCAGCCATCAGAACTATGAGAGAATGCATATCTGTTCTTTTAAGCCACCAGGTTTCTGATACTTTGTTATAGCAGCCACAGGCCACTCATACAGGGTGCTGCTGGACCAGGACACACATCCTCTGGCATCCACAGAGAATGCAGTGTCTCCTCACACCTTCATGGGTAGTTCCCATCTATGTCCATAGTTGATGGGAGTATGGTATAATGGGGAGTACTATGAGCTAGGAATAAGGTATATAGTAGAGAATATTCTTGGAAGTCACCCAACCTCTCCTGGCCTCAGTTTTCCAATCAGTAAAATGGACATGAAAGACCCAGTAGTTGATCCAACCCTGTCCAGCTTCACCCATCTTGGAGTCTGACACAAAAGGAAAATAAAGGGCAGTACAGGCTAACCAGTGCCTGGCTAAGCCCCCCATGGGCATCTGTGTCTGGCAGAGGAGCCAGCATGCCAAAGAGTCTCCTCCCCCTAGGAATAAGTGGAAGTAGTCTTTGCCAGAGCAGATGAAGTACTCCATGCATAAATGGCCACTGATAAATCTGGAAGTTACAAGATAGTCTCTTCCACAAGCCATGGGTCAGTGTTTCCTGAACTTTCCTGACCATGTGAATTAACTGGGCCTGTGCCCACTATGTCAAATGTAAAATATCCTTAAAAATTTGTTGAACGAATCCTAAGACCTTTTCTAACTCCAGTCTCCTTGTTTAAGCCACTTGTTCTTACTGCCAAACCAGTTAAACAGAAACAGGCGAGCTTTGTCACAATGGGTACTGACTGCCTGAAATCACAACACCATGGAATTTCTGGGCTGGGGAGACCTCAAAGGTCTTGGGTGGTACAAACCGTCATTGCATTTAGCTGCTAGCCAAAAAGTTGGTGGTTCAAGTCTACCCAGAAGTGCCTCAGAAGAAAGACATGGCCATCTACTTCCAAAAAGTCAGCCATTGAAAGCCCTGTGAAGCACAGTTCTACTCTGACACTCATGAGGTCATTCAGTGGCAGCTGTTTTCTTTCGGGAGGAAGGATCTCAGCATGTAGAGGTTCAAAGAACAGGCTTTGGGAGTGAATGGACTGGGTTCAGTCTAGCTTAGCCCTTCATCAGCTATTACCTTGACCAAGACACTTTCCTCTGCAAGTCCATTTCACAGTGTCAGAAGGGCCATGAGAATGGCCCTCAAACCATGGTGACTCTGAGATAGTTCTTATGTGGTCCTCCCTGTGGTATTGAGGAAGGAAACCAGAGTCCAGCCACAGGAATTGCCTGTTCCGGTCCACCGGATCTATGACATGGGCAAGACTGGGGCAGAGGTCCTGAACTCAATTCTTCCCTCCAGCGACCAAATGGCATTTTATTCCTTGCATATCTATAGATGTGGTCCTCACACATTCTCCCTCCCATCCCTCTCCCTTTATGATCTTCCCCCACCTCAAGACAGGCCCTGCTTACCGTGGGTTGGACCAGACTCTCCCGGTTATGAATGGTACCCCATGTGGCAACTCCAATGGTGGTTATGTCACCTTCCTTGCAGCTGCTACTCAGGCTGAAGTCCCTCACTGCCTCACCTACCTGCTTCATCACTCCAGTATGGGAGCCTCCAGTGATGATCCAGGCCCCTGAAGAAGAGAGAAGCAGTAGAGTCAGAGGAACCACAGGTGCAGATGCAGTTGCCGGTCAAAATTCAGACACCCCAGGCCCTTCTGTGGTTAAAGATATTCACTCCTTGGTGTTGGCAGAGCCCCTTACTCAAGGAAGTCTCAAATACAGGTACAATTTTCAAAACTAGAGTTAAGGAGGATGGTACACTATGAGTGTATCTTCATGTTGCAGCTCAGGGAACCAGAGGTCAATGGCTTTCCATGTTGCTCAGGTAGGAAGAGAAGGTACAGAATCAGGAACCCATCTTCTGACCAGGCCTCACCCTCTCTTCCTAGATCTCTCCTACCTCCTTTCTGCCCCAATCTTGGGAAACATCTCTGAAATCTACTTCTACTTTTTCTACTTCTATTTCTGCTTCTACTGCTAATTCAATTTCTGCTTTTATTTCTATTTTCCATTGCTACTTCCCTATTTCTACTTCTTCTACTTCTGCTTCCACCACACTTGTCTGCCAATTTGTCTGTGGTGGTTTGCATGTTGCTGTGAAGCTGGAGGCTACACCACTGGTATTTTGAATGCTGGCAGGGTCACTCATGGTGGACAGGTTTCAGCAGAGCTTCCAGATGAAGACAGACTGGAAAGAAGGAAAGGCCATCCACTGCTGAAAAAACTGGCCAGAAAAAAAAACATCATGAACAGCAGTGAAACACTGTCTGATATATTACTGGAAAACTTTATGAATAGCCCTGAAACATTGTTGGATATTGTGCTCTAAGATGAGTTCCTCAGGTTGGAAGGCAGCCAAAACATGACTGAGGAAAAGCCATCTCCCAAAAGCAGAGTCCATCTTAGTGATAGGGATGGAGTAAATCTTTTGGGACCTTCATTTGCTAATGGGGTACAACTCAAAATAGGAAGAAACAGCTGCAAACATTCATTAATAATCAGAATATGGAAAGTATGAAGTATGGATCTAGGTAAACTAGAACCTGTCAAAAATTAAATGGAACACATAATGATGATATCCTAGCCATCAGTGACCTGAAATGAATCAGTACTAGCCATTTTGAATCAGATTATCAAATGATCTACTATGTCAGGAATGACAAATTGAAAAGAACTGTGCCTTTTTACTTATCAACCTTGGGCTTGGCAGCCTCAGCAGCCAGCAGCTGTGTGAGTGAAGAGAAGCCTCCAGCTTTAGTGGCTGGGAGCTGGAGGCAGAGCTTAAGCTCAAGGTTGAGGGGCTTTCATGCAGCCCCTACAGTCTGGCACTTTGAACTTGGACTTAAAGCCTCCAAACTGTAAGAGAAAACTCCTGTTTGTTAAAGCGGTATATTTGCGGTATATTCCTGTCAAAGTGGCACTAGGTAACCAGAACACAGGTGGATAGAACAACCACCACATCAGAGCATAGTGAGTTCACACCAGATTTTCTTTTTGCTTCACTCTCTCTGCCACAAGAATAGCAGGTCCTAAGTAAGATTTGTTCCTCTGGCCTATGTCCCCAGCTGAGAAGACATATGGGGTGGAGATGCAGCCCTAATCCACAGCCACTGCCTTGAACCATAAGCACAAAACAATGTTTGCTGTCACTTTTGACTGTTGGTTACCTGCATCATGCTGATAAGTACCACAGTCAGCATGACAAGTGCCACAGAAAGTGGCACTTACAAACAAGGTTGCAATGTTGCCAAAAATTCTAAAAATCTAAAACATATGGCACTAACTTCAGGCTGGGCAGTGGGCAGCAGGGACAATGACACTGAAAGCCAAAATGATATCAACAATGGCAAAACGTGGTGAAGCAGCCACCTGCAATTTCCTGGGAGGCAGGTGAGTACCGAAAAAACCATCGCATTAAGGGAAGCTTAAAAGCTGTAAAGCTCCCTGGTGTACTTGGGTGAGGGTGAGCTACATTTGGCCAACTGCCACCTGAACAAACTGAGGAAAGATTCAGTCTATTTACAGCCAGGGATGGAAGAAAAGGGAGAGGCAAGAAATCTGGGGTTTCCTGGGTGAAAGATACACTTGGTCATCATCTCCCACTGGGAAATGGTAAAACTGAGAAAGGCTGATTAAGACTCAGGTTGAGACTGTTTCAGGGCAAAGATCTAGGAGTCCCTGGGTTGTGCAAATAGTTAATGTACTCAGTTGCTAACTAAAAGGTTGGTAGTTCAAGTCTACCTAGAGGCATCTCAGAAGAAAAGCTGGCTTATCTACATCCAAAAAATCAGCCTATGGAGCAAAGTTCTCTTCTGATACACATGGGGTCACCATGAGTTAGAGTGAACACAATGGCAACTGGTTTAGGGCAAAGACCAAGTCAAGGATGGGCCTGACATTCCTTGTGAAAACCAAACCATTGGATTTTCTGTATGATTCTTCTCTCATTTGGACCCAAAAACACTGTTTTCCTTGTTGCTACTATGCCCCAGTGTGACCCATCTCAGAGACACAGGCACTCTACTTATCAATCATCACTTTGAGGGAATCTCAGGGCCCCTAGGGCATGCAGCCCAACATCCTGTGGCACTCTGGGCTCTCCAGAGCATGAGGTAGAAGCCATGGTCCCTGTGTGGTCTTCTAAGTGTTGTGACCTTGGGAAGTTATCTAACTTCAACAAGGTAGTTTCTTAAATGTAAAGATGGAAATAATATCCCTATTTCCCTGAACTTGATGGACAGATTAGGTGACAGGTACGGCATTTGATTCTCAGAAACTCTCACTAATGTCTCCATGATGAACCCAACCTACTTCGTCCCCCTCAGGATTCATTTGCTCATGTCATCCCATAAACTTATCACTCAGGGCCACCTGTAGGTGTATCACTAGGGGGGTTACACACTGGAGCCATTTCCACCCCATGGACAAGCTAGGAGGCAGCAGTAGGATGTCAAGGGAGGAACCAGGAATTTGGTGAATCTGACCCAATGTTTCTTCACCCAGGCGCAGAATCATGATTTGCAACCGAGTGTTATGAGTTTAATTATGTCCCCTGAAAGATCTGTTCAAGTCTTATCTATGGTGCCTGTGAGAATGACCTTGCAGATGTAATTAATTAACATGAGGTCATACTAGAGTAGGGTGTGTCCTAATCATTAGAAGAGAGAAGAAACACAGACATACACACAGAGGGAAGATAGCCATGTGATGATGGAGGCAGAGATTGAAGTGATGGGGCCATAAGCCAAGAAATGCCTAGACTAAACAATTAGGTATGTCTAAATGGGGAGTATATCCAAGATCATATATAGGGTTGGCAGACAATGGTCCTATAAGTTTATGTGAGTGATCAGAATTCCCAGGTGTATAGTAGAGCTGACAAGGGGCAAGGTTATGGTCATTACTTCATCACAGCCAGCTACCCAGAGGGACCGAGTAGTTGATCCTGCGGGCTTGGGACCATAGTCACAGGGGACATCAAGCTCAATTGGCATAACATACTATAAAAAACATTGTTCTACCTCCTACTTTGGTGAGTAACGACTGGGATCTTAAAAGCTAGCAAGCTGCCATCTAGATGCAACAATGGGTCTCTCCTCGCCAAGAAGAAAGAAGAAAACCAAATGAATGGAAACAATCAGTCCTAACGACTGGTACACCATCTGATCTGCAACCTATACAACTATGAGACCAGAAGAACTAGACGGTGCCCGGCTACCACTGTCATCCACTTGGAAGGGATGTACGAGATCCTGCATAGAGAGGGAGAACAATGTGGAACAAAACTCAAAATCATTTGGAGGCAAAAAAAAAAAAGAAGGTGGGGACCAGGTTTGCTGGTCCAACAGAGCCTGATGAAACCACTGAGACTATGGCCCCTAGCTGACCTTCAGGTCTGGGATTGAACCCACAACTGTGGTTTCCAGCCAAACAAAGAACAGGCAAGTGAGTTGGACATTTACCTCAAGTAGACACACACCCTGGAGAGAACAATCATGGGAGAAGGAAGGGCTGCTTATGCACAGGGAGACAGCTCAGGGCGCAGAAGAGTTTGGAGGGATGGACACTGGGAAGAGGTAACTATGGGGAGGAGGTGGGAGGGGAGCTGTTGCATTGTAAATTTTGGTCAATGACATGAGACAGGGTATGTGTGAACTGCTGTATGAAAAGTGAATTTACTCTGTAAATCTTCACCCAAATCAAAATAAAATTAAAAAACAAAAGAAAGAAAGAAAGAAATGCCTAGAGCCACCAGAAGTAGGAAGAGGCAAGGAAGGATCCTTTCCTAGAGCTTTTGGAGGAAGTGTGTCCCTGACAACATCCTGAATTCAGATTTCTGGCCTCAAGAACTGAGAGAAAAAAATTCTGTTGTCGTAAGCCACTAGTATGTGATGCTTTGTTACAATATCCACAGGACATTTATGTAGGCATGGACTCGATGACCTCGAGGGTCTTTCTAATCTTGATAGCCATGGAGAGACATCCTCACCTGGACCTGTTTGTTCACCCCACCTTCACATCATTGCTTTCTAGGCACCTTCTCCAACAGGAGCCTGTGCAGGCAGGGCTGCATGTCTATCCCAAGCTCTCACCTGTGGTCTGGGCCACCTTGACCAGGCCTCTTCGGAAGATGCTCTTTAGCCTCAGCTTCATTTTGAAGTTCTTGGCCCCACCCGTCACAGAGATTAAGAGGCTGGGAATGTCCAGGCCCCAGTGCTGGGTCATGAGATGATAGATGACATCGGAAGGTGTGTCCTGGGAGACTCGGATATACTGCAGAGAGGACAGTGGGAGGAGACCCTCTGTCAGCAGGCTACAGCCTTTCATAGTCAGCACATCCAAAGGGCCACACTCCACCCCAGACTGCCAACCCCACCTGCCAGGGGTTGACCTGGGCATGTTATCATGGGGCTGCCACATACCATCTTGGGGCTGCCATGGACCTTTAGGATCATCATCAGTGGGCTTAAGCCCACCATGAAGAGCACCAGACCAATGGAGACCCACCTTTCCCACCTTCTGGCCTAAGCCTCTGAAGATGATGTCACCAAAGGCATCCGTGGGCATCTCCTGGACATGCTTTTTGGGGTCCCACTCCTTGCCCTGGAACATGTGGGACTTGGTGGCCTCCTCCAAGTGCTGCTCACGTGTGTAACCACACTCACATACCACCTTCCTGTGAAGACACTGCACAGGTCACCCATCTACCCACCCACAGTGCCAGACAAGGGGCTAAATCCCAACAGACACCCCAAGTTGGAGGGTCCCTACACCTTCCATAAAACTTTAGTCTGGAAAGAAGATGAGGGAAAATGTCTCCTCAGACATCTTGCTGTTCCTAGAGGGAAAGATAACAACCTGTGCCCAGGCAGGCAGGTAGGTGGGCTGTTACAGCCTTACCTGTTGCAGCTCCCACCTATTTTGGGCAACTCCTACCAGGGGAGAGATGACATAGACAGGTATGAAATGCAAAGCTCCACTTAGCACCCCTTAACTGACCTAGAAAGAGCACTAGACTTCTATGGACAGGGGTGCTTGGTCTGCCTCTACCACTGAGTTTTGTCTTGGAACAAGTCAGTTTTCCTTCTCTGGCCTTGATTTCTTCACCTCTAATTTGGGTATGGGGTTAAAAAATAAGACTTCAAAGAGTCTTTTCAGGAGCTCTGGTGTAGTGCCTAAGGCACTTGACTGCTAACCAGAAGATCGGTGGTTCAAACCCACCAGCCACTCCTAGGAAGGAAGATTGGGCAATCTACTTCCATAGTGATACTGCCTTGGAAACCCAAGGAAGGATCACTATGAGCCAGAGACAACTCGACAGCACATAACAACAACAACAAGAGTCTTTTCAGCCCTTCAAAGCCCATTATTTCACCCCCAAGTACAGGGCATGGGATAATAGCAAATGCATCCACAGTATCCACTCACTATGAGCCAAGCACATTCCAGACACTTACCTATATTACCATGTAAGCCTCTCACCAACCCTCTGACATAAACATTGTTATTATAGCCATTTTACAGATGAGGAAATCAAGACACAGAACTATTCAGTACTTTGCTCAAGGTCACCCAGAAAGCACAGAGAAGACCTGGGGTCCAAACTCAGGATCCCTGGAGCAAGAATCCATGCTGTTCTCTCTCTCTAGGAGCTGTAGAATCTTCTTCAAGCAAATGGGTCCACCACTAAGGCCAATGGTCATCAGGTACCTTGAATAAGGCAAATACTTAATCCAAATTCAGTTTCCCCAGTGAGGCTGTAACATTTTGAGCAGGAAGAAGGGACACATGTGCTATGTACAGTGCTGGCCTCATAGCTGACTTCATGTAATCTCAAGCAAGTGCAGCAAATAGGCACCACTGTCCCCATTTAGCAAATGTGTGACTGAGCTTTATAGAAGTCAGTAATTTCCCAATCCTCACAGCACAGCAAGGCTAAGGTTGGTTATAGATATGCCTGCCCCAAAGCCAATCCTCTACCCACTACCTGGTGCTACCTTCCCAACAGGCACCGCTCCCTGGAGGGGGCACCACTGAGAGCTGTGTCCCTACAATGCTGATGTGCAGGGCAGCACTGTATGTGTTTGCTGAGTGAATGCTACACATATAAAACAATGTCTTCTCCATTACTGATTCAACAACCTGTGTTGGGCTGAGATAAAAACATAAATGAAATTCTCTCCCTGTCCTCTAGAAGTTTGTGGACTAACAAACCAGTTAATAGCCTAGTGTCTCTATAAAGTTAATCCAGAGTCAAAAACCACCAAACATTAAGTAGAAATGAATGATAAAGAAAAACTGTTTATAATTTTATGTTTCATCTTCTTACTCTAGAGGAGCAACATGCTTTTTAAAAAGATAATTTGGATTTTTACCAAACCAATACATGTAAATCATTTTAAAATCCAAATGGAGCTCAAAAGTATATGAGCCCTCTAACATTCATGTCATCAGAGTCCCAGAAGGAGAAGAGAAAGCTGAAAAAAGTACTCAAATAATGGTTGGGCTTTCCCTAATTTTGAAAAAAAACAAAAAACAAACTTACAGATTCAGAAATATGAGTGAACATCATACAGGGCAAACCCAAAGAATTGTGTGCCAAGATACATCATAGTAGAACTTCTAAAAACTAAAGGCAAAGAAAAAATCCTGAAAGCAGTGAGAAAGGAATGACACCTTACTTACAGGATAAAAAGTACTTTGAACAATAAAAGTTTCTCACCAGAAGACCTGAAGGACAGAAAGAAGTGACACAACATTTTTCAAACACTGGAAGAAAAAACTACGTACCCAGAATTTTATATCCAGCAGAAATATCCTTCAGAAATAAAGTGGAAGTCACGATATTCTCAGATAAAGGAAAACTAAGTGAATTTGTCACCAGCAGACCTACTCTAAAAGAATGGCTAAAGGAGATTCTCTAGACAAAAAAATGAAAGAAGGCTTGGTGAAGCAAACGGTTAAGTGCTCAGCTGTTGACCAAAAGGATTGCAGTTCAAACCTACCCAGCATCTCTGTGAAAGAAAAGTCTGGGTATCTTCTTTCATAAAGAGTACTGCCACGGGGGTTACAAGTCAAATCAACTTTACACCACCCAACAACAAAGAAAACAGAAATGAAATGATAAAAGAAGGAATTTTGGAACAACAGGAAGGAAGAACAATGGAAAGACCAAAAATATGGGTAAACACAACAAATTTTTCTTGAGTTTTCTAAATGATATTTGATGGTTGAAGCAAAGATTAAAACAATGTCTAATGTGATTCTCAATATATGTAGAGGAAATATTTACAATTACATTATAAAAGGCAAAGGGATGTAAAGAAAGAGGATTTCTACACTTCACTCAATCTGGTAAAATATCAACAGTTGTTGATATTGTTGAATAAGGTGACACTGAGTCAGCTCTGAGTCATAATGACCTTATGTACAACAGAAGGAAACACTGTCTCGTCCTGCACCATCCTCACAATCATTACTGTGTTTGAGTCCATGTTTGTAGCCAGTGAACCAATCCATCTCATGGAGAGTCCTCCTATTTTTTGCTGACCCTCTATTTTACCAAGCATGATGTCTTTCTCTGTGGACTGGTCCCTGCTGATAACATTTTCAAAGTAAGTGAGACAATATCTCACCATTCTTGCTTCTAAGGAGCATTCCAGCTGTACTTCTAAGACATATTTGTTTGTTCTTCTGGCAGTCCATGGTATATTCAAATGTGTCAATTCATCTTTGCTCTTCTTTATTCTTTATCCATCTTTCACATCCAGATTAGGTTATTTAAAATACCATGGCTTGGATCAGGCATATATTAGTCCTCAACCCCAGACTAGGACACCAGTAGACACAACCAGTAGACTGCCATAATTCATGTATATAAAATGTAATATCTAGAGCAACCACTAAAAAGTCTATACAAAGAGACACATAGAAAAACACCACAGATAAATCAAAATGGAATTCTAAACAATGTTCAAATAATCCAAAAGAAGGCAAGAAAATAAAAACAAAGAGAATGAACAGAAAAAATAAAATAAAATGGCAGTCTTAAGCCCTAACATATAAACAAGTACACTAAATGTAAATGTTATAAATACAATTAAAAGACAGAGATTATCAAAGTATATTTTTTAAAATGACCCAATTATTTTTTTTTTATCTATAGAAACTCACTAGTTACATAAGTAGTTTGAAAGTAAATGGACTAGTCAGCAATAAAAGGAAAGAACTATTGATACACATAACAACTTGAATGGATCTCAAGAGAATGATATTGAATAGAAAAAAAAAAGCCAATCTCAAAAGATCACAGTGTAAGATCCCATTTATATAATATTCTTAAAATAACAAAGTTATAGGGATAGATAACAGATTAGTGGTTGCCAGGGGTTAAAGATGATAAGGGAAGGTGGATAGAAGTAACATAGGGAGATCCTTGTGGTAGTGGAACAGTTTTGTATACTGATGATTATGTGCCAACTTGGCTGGGTCTGGTTTTGAGTGGCTGGACAGCTAGATGTGGTCTGTTTCCAGGATATAAGAAGAATCTTTGAGAAAGATCTTGACCTTTTTGGCATGTCTGGATCCTGCATTTGGCTGAGTCTCATCTCAGTGGCCTGCCATGTTGTCTGCCAATCTTGAGACTGTTTCTGGACTTGAACTAGTGGCCTGTTGTGCTGCTTGATAATTTAGGGACTGTGCCATTTTACTTGGTGACCTTGGGCTTATCAGCCAATTTCTAATCTTCTTGATTCTTTCTATTGCTTTTCTGTTTCATTTATTTCTGCTCAAATCTTTATTATTTCCTTTCCTCAGGTGACTGTAGGCTTTTGTTGTTGTTGTTGTTGTTTTTGTAATTGGAGATTTTGGCTTAAGGTGTAAATTTTTGGTTCTTTCTTCTTTTTTTGATATGTGCATTTATTGCTATAAATTGTCCTGTGAACACTGCTTTTGCTGCATCCCAAAGATTCATTCTTGTTTGAATCAAGGAATTTTTTAATCTCATTTTAATTTTTTTCTGTTACCCAATAGTTTCAAATCATGATGTTGTTCAGTTTCTGTGTATCTGATAATTTTCGATTCATTTTCCTGTTGTTGATTTTTAATTTTATAGCATTGTGATCTGAGAATATGCTTTGTGTGTATTTGACTGTTTTTAAATTTATTGAGGCTTGTTTAGGAGCTCTGGTGAAATAAAAAGGATAATAACAATACTAAGAAAAACTGTACTCCAACAAATTATTCACTGCCATCAAGTCAATTTCGACTCATCACGACCCCTCCTTGGGTTTCTGAGGTGGTATCACTACAGAAGTAGATTGCCCAACCTTCCTTCCGAGGAATGGTTTGAACTGCCAGCCTTCTGACTAGCAGTCAAATGCCTTAGGCACTACGCCACCAGAGCTCCTACTGAAATAAAAAGGATAATAACAATACTATGAAGAACTGTACTCCAACAAATTCAAAAACGTAGAAGAAATGGACAAATGTCTGGAAACACATTACCTACACAAACTAACACAATCTAAGGTAGAAAATTTGAAAAGACCCATCACAAAAGAAGAAATGTAACAGGTTATTTAAAAAAAAACAAAAACTTCCAACAAAAAAAAGTCTTGGGAGGAGGCGGGGCAAGATGGCGGACTAGGCAGAAGGATTGCACAGACCCTCGTCAAC